TGGGTTCCACCCCACCCCCCACTCCCACTGCCCTAGCACGCATTATGCTGGACTATAGCTGTCTGTGCATCTACCTCCCTACCAACCACATCAACCTTAGTGCTGATGCCCATAGTAGATGCCTGTCCAGGCCCATCTTCTACTTTTCCCTCCACATCCATCCCCTATCCCACTCTGTCCTGGGGTTCCCTCTTTCTCTTTCTCCCTTCTCGTAGTCAGTCGTCAGGCTTAGTCAACAGAAGGCAGTTAAGTTGCAGGAGATCCGTCAGAGGGTGGGAGGAGAGTGCATGAATGGCACTGTTCCTTCCCTATTCCTTCCCCAAAGCTCCTGTGGGCCTTCAGACACACCACATCCCACCGCCAACACCACCCGCTCCACCTTCACAGCCACAGCTCGCCAGTCCCTCCATTCAGGGCCATAATGCTGAGAAATTATCTTGAGAGCCCCAGGGAGTGACTGATTTAAGAGATCCCTCTGGTAGACAGATTACAGTAGAAACTGAACAGGAGTGGGGGTCGGGGGTTGGGTCCCACCAGGTTCCACTAACCCTTCCCCTCCTGGGCCTTGACCCTGTGGGTTGTGGACAGGGAATGTTGCCTGACTTTCCTGTAAACAAAGAATGTTGCCCGCTATCCCAGTTCTACAAGAATCAAGCCATTAGCTACTGCAGCAGCCCACGGATGGTGCACCTGAGGGGAATTCAGGATGGAGAAAAACAGGAAGCGTTCTGTGCTTTGGATACTGACCCTAGATAGTTAAGATGCATATCAAAGGAATAATTTCAATGAACCCAGGTCCTTGCATGTTCCCATACATAGAAAAACATTAACTTGTCTGTTCTTTGTGATTAGTAATCTTGGTGTTCAACTACATATTTTTGTTTTTGTAGATCCTGGCTCCTCCCTTATCTCTTCAGAGCAATTCCTCAGAGCTTTCTGAGAGGCTGTCTTCTGGGCTTTAGTCCTCAGTAAGGTCCCACACAACTTTTAGGTTGTGCATTTTTCTTCAGTTCACAAGGCCTAGGGAAGGAAAGTGCTCCCAATGTTAGCCCCAGGTGCTGACACCCGAATTCACCCACGGCCCTTTTATTGGACTCTCCTCAAATACGCACAGTGTTAATAATGACTCTTTTCTGGGACTTCCCTGGTGGCTCAGTGGCCAAGACTGCGCTCCCAGTGCAGGGGTCCCAGGTTCGATTCCTGGTCAGGGAACTAGATCCCACATGCATGCCTCAGCTAAGAGTTCGCATGCCACAACTAAGGAGCCAGTGAGCCGCAACTAAGGAGCCCACCTGCCGCAACTAAGACCCAGTGCAACCAAATAAATAAGTAAATATTTTTTTAAAAGACTATTTTCTGCTGGGACCTTTATGTGGCAGTCAAGCTGCATATGGGAACTCTGCATGGGGCCAAAGCAATACCCAATGATGCTCAGAAAGCCCAGTGTCCCACGGTGTGGGTGGCAGGGTGTGGGTGACATCAGCCCAGGACTGACCCACAGGGCCAGGAGTGTGAGAGCTAAGTAGAGCACAGCTCTCCTGCCATTCCTCTTCACCAGCACCTGGGCTCCCTTCCTCCATTTCAGAAGGCAGAAATGCCAGACATCCACTTCCCAGCTTCCTTTGCCCAAGGCCCAGCCAATCAGATGTACCCTCCTTGGAATCAGATGTACCTTCCCTAGAGTCAGACATACCTTCCCTGGAGTGTGCCTAGTGGGCTGGTGACCAGAGCCTCTGCAGTGGTGGGGGTCACAGCAGCCGGGTAGCAGCATGCAGTGTCTGCCAAAGCAGAACTGTGACTTGGGCATGGCCTCTTTGTCTTGTCCTCCTGTGCCCTTGGTGGTTCTGGGAGCTACACAAGTTCATTTTCATAAATTCCATTTCTGATTATGTTGGGCAGAGTCAGTTTCCTCCAACTGATAAAGTTGTCAGCAGGTGACCAGGGAAATGGGGGTGCATCCGGAGTGGACGTTTGCCTGGTTGGAGTTAAAGGCAGTGGAAATCCAGCCAGGATGAAGGGAAAGCCTTTGGCAACGCCAGCAGGCTGAGGAGACAGAGCTAGTACAGCCATCACTGGTGGTGTGGTACAGATCTTCCACGACTTAACGATGGGGTTACTGATAAATCCCCTGTAAGCTGAAAGTATCGTAAGTTGAAAATGTATTTAATACATCCAGGACATTGGTCGCCTCCTCAGTGAGGACTTCATACAACCCTGAACCACGCCCTCGGCTCTGTCCCAGCACCCTCTAATACACTACTTACCTCTTTACTGTGTCTTCCACCACTAGAATGTCAGCTCTGTGAGGGAGGGAGTTTGCCCCTGTGCTTACTGCTATATTCCTCCTGCTTAGCACATGGTAGGCACTTAATGTGTTGTTAATGAATTAAGTGAAATGAAGATGCATATGAAAGAATTAGAGGAATCAGATTGCAACCAACCTCCAGCCCTTCTCCACCTCCCTTGCCCACTGAAGCAAGGTGTCCTCCCATAAAACCTCGTGAGGGAGTTACTTTGCAAGGGGAGTCAACTCTTCTAATGCCCCTCCTCCCCAACTCCTTAAACTAGAGATGGATACCAGCATGTCTGGAGACCTTATTACAAAGTCAGACCCAGAGGGGATGGCTTATGTATCAAAAGAATTTAAGACTTTGGTATTTTACATTAGCTAAAATATACACACTATGTGGTGGTGGTGGGGAGACTGAGGCCCTAGACCATGGAGATAAGAACATCAGCTTAGTTAGGTTGGACTTCATCAATGCAGGTGAGCTTGCCAGGAACTTTGGATTCAATGTGCAGGCTTAAGCTACTGGGGGTTGTTCTGCCTGTCTGTTTGGTTGGCTGAAATGAAAACTGGGTCTCACTAAATGCAATTGAGATGCCAAATGCTCCCTGGTGTAATGTAGAGGAAAGAACCCAAGGCCTCAGGAAGATTCACTCATTCATTCAAAACAAATGTTGGACTGAATTTATCAGGGACAACTCACCTTCTCCCTGAGTCCCTGGAGACGACCCAAAACATAGTCCTTCACCAAGGCCCTAGGAAGTTCATCGCTGAGAAGTTTCCATTTGTCAGGGCTGCTGTAACAAAGTACCACACCCTGAGCGGCTCAAACAACAGAAACTTACTGTCTCATAGTTCTGGAGGCTGGAAGCCAGGATGTCAGCAGGATCCATGCTGTCTCTGAAGTTGCTGGGGAATTTTGGATTAGGGGCACACCCTACTCCAGTATGACTTCATCTTAATTTATGACACCTGCAACCACCCTATTTCTACACAAGGTCACATTATGAGGTACCGGGGGTTAGGTCTTCAATGTATTAATTTGGGGGACACAATTTGACCCATAAGTACCATAGTCACAGCTGTCCATGAGTCAGAGATTCTGGTTGGAGACACTATAGTTGAAATGCCTCCTTGATTTCAATGCAGATACCAGGATCTTTGGCAGGATCACCAGGCCCCTAATACAAAAACTGATGGGGAGGCCAGCAGAGCCCTACTGGATGTGTATGACAAAAGAACTAGAGGGCTGACCACCAGAGACCTGACTGCAGAGGATAGGATCTCTCACCAATTTTCCAGATAAGATCAGTTCACAAACCCAGGGGCCCTTGACGGAAGTGGGGTGGGTGCCCTTTAAGGTGGGCCCTGTGAAGACAGCCCAGCTTCATGCTGGTACTTTCCCCACAACCCTTCCCAAAGAGACCTGTGGCCATTAGCCAGGGTTTGACAGGTACCACTTCTGGTCTACCCCATTTTCCACTTTTAATAGAACAGTTTTTGTTTAAACAACAATGTGCCCAGTCCCGGGGGATGAATAATGATTGGTCTAAACCAAACATGGCAACTCGCCTTTACAGGTGATAATTATATTTTATTAATATATAATATACAACCATATTATAAATATAATTCAAATGTTGCTGAAACCTATGTCTTTGTAACAATATTTCATTCTATCCAAATATCCTCTGATCCTACCTGATGGCCACTGTTTCCTAGCAACCCAAAATGCTACAAAATTCTTCAGCCTAACCATATATAATCGCTCTTTCTAGGTTGTGGTAGAACAGTGAACCTGAAGAAAAATTCTGATAGTGTTATATTTCATTCCTTCTGTTGTTGCTTTGCTGTTGAAATCTTCAAAACCTTCTTCAGAAAGTGCAAGGAAGCCTCTAAGGAAGTCAGGTATCCACTCCAGGAACTCTGCCCGGAGACAGGGTGGGGACCATTCAGCGGTCCCCCAACCTCACCTACCAGGAAGACAGTCGTAGCTGATACTACTCTGAGCCTGGGGATGAAGCCCAAGGGGTTCCTGTCATCCACTGTGACACAGCCACCCTCTGCCCTGACACACTAGGAAAGGCAAATGCCAGCAATGTTATGTCCATGGACGAAGACCCCTGCAACACCCCAGCCCCACGGCAGAAGGTGTAGAAAAGTCCAACAAAATTCTGAGGCATGGGGAGGAGGAGGGATAAATTAGAAGCTTCAGATTAACATATACATACTACTATATATAAAATAGATGACAAGGACCTACTGTATAGCACAGGGAACTCTACTCAATATTCTGTGATCACCTATATGGGAAAAGAATCTGAAAAAGAATGAATACATGTATACGTATAACTGAATCACTATGCTGTACACCTGAAACTAACACAACATTGTAAATCAACTATACTCCAATAGGACACGGGTTCGAGCCCTGGTCTGGGAAGATCCCACACGCCGTGGAGCAACTAAGTCCATGCACCACAACTACTGAGGTTGTGCTCTAGAGCCCATGAGCCACAACTACTGAGCCCGCGAGCCACAACTACTGAGCCCACGTGCCACAACTACTGAAGCCCGTGCGCCTAGAGCCCGTGATCTGCACCAAGAGAAGCCACGGCAATGAGAAGCCCACACACCACAAGGAAAAGTAGCCCCCGCTCACCACAACTAGAGAAAGCCTGCGCATAGCAACAAAGACCCAACACAGCCAAAATTAAAAATAAATAAATAAATAAGTTTATTTAAAAAAAAACAACTATACTTCAATAAAATTTTTTTTTAAATGCAAAAGGAAAAAAAAATTCTGAGGCATAGGAAAGGGTGTCTCTTGTCACCACCTTCCCCACGCCAGAAGTAACAAAGAACACCAGAGAATCAGCCAGCACGCTCCACCCACAGCCTTATGCAGGCCCTCCATCCTCGACCCAGCCTCTGGTTCCCCTCTCCAGGGATGCCAGTATTTGGGACCCACATTTCCAGGGACCCCAGATCCCCCCCATGTCTGTTTCTGTCTCAGTGGTGAGGGCCCAGCAACCTTGGTCAGCCCAGAGAAAACCCGGGCCCTGCCCAGGGCTCACTCCAGGGCAAGACAGTTTCCGCTCCAGGGATGGGTAGTCATGGGGGTGGGAGCTGGACCAAGGGTCCATACAGACCTGTTGGGAGGGAGCACAGCACAGGGGTTTGCAGAGCCGCTGGAAAGAACCTCACCAGTGGCGAGCTGGCCACACAACACCTTAGATTGTTCTTTTTTAAAAAAGTATTTATTGCAAAGAATGTTGGACACAGTGTGATATGTGGCTGAGATCCAACAACATCCATTCCAGGGCGAGCAGGAAACATGTCTGCAACAGGAGCACATCAACCGTCCCGGCTACAACCGGGCAGCCAGCCAGGTGGATGGCTGCCCATGCAGAGCTGGCTCCGGGTGAGCCCTGCTGGGATCCCAGACTTCCCTCTGCCCCATCCCAGTCCTTGTGACACATCTCCAGTAGCTCCTGGCTGCCCTCTGGACAGAGAGAAAAGGCCTCGCTGGTCTCACCTCAGCTAGCCTGAGGTCTTGGAGAGGTGGTGACATCTAGATGTACGTGCCGCTGACCAAAGGGACCTGCTATGGCCAACAACTGAGCATGACCAAAAGTCATCAATACTCTGGCGGACATGGAAGCAAAGGCTGCAGTCCCCACATCCCAAAGGCAGTAGCGTGGTCCTCTGGCCCTGGGTCTAAGGGGCCTGGGGCTCTGACAGGAGATAAGTCCAGAAGGAGGGTACTGCCACGGCTCTGTCCTGGATCTCTCTCCACCCATGTCTGTCCGTAACTGCTGTGGCACTCGAGGCCGAGAGATCATCAGCCTGGGCCAGGGACACAGGATCCTGGGGCCTGACTTCACCAAGGACCACCACCTGTGGACAGCAGCGCATCCAACTACAAATCCACACGCTTCCTCACCCAGCCTCACAACTTCCTGGCCAGCCTGTTCTCCCAGCTACAAAATGGAGCCGGAACCCGCGGCCCAGCACAACTCCCTGGGCCCAAAAGAACTCAGGGGCGTGACAGATGGCAGGCTTCCCGAGGTCGTTTTCATCAGGCTCCTGTGTACAAGAATCAGAAGCTGGGAAATTCCTGCCCTGGCCGGAGGCTGCCTCCAGCTCTGGGCTTTCCCGTGCTTAGTTCCGTGGGTAGAGGTCAACAAACGCCAGGACAGGCTTTGCAGGACCATGCAAGCTTTTCCGAATCCTTCACAGCAAATGCAGGTCCCTGCCACCAGTGTACACTCTTGTGTGGACACAGGCAGCAGCGGGCAAGGTAGCCCAGTGGCATGGCTGGGAGAGGAAGATGGGAGGGCAGCCTCTCCCTCGAGCACTGGGAAGGGCGACTCATACAACTGTCCCGTCTTCACGTCTTTCTTTACGTGTTGCACCATGAGAGCAGTTGGAGAGGGGTGGCCTTGGCTGCCAGCTCCCACGAGTATTCCAGTGTAGGCATAATTGGGAAGGGGTAATCGCAAACACCCCGCTCCCTGCATGTTTCTGTGCATTCCCATGTGCTGAAGTGAACACACTGCTTTCCTGAGCATCCACAAATGCAGACGCACGGACTCAAGGGTCTGGCCAGTGGAGGTGGCTGCCTTGGCGGAAGCTCTTCAGTTCCTGGCGAGGCAGGATGGGGATGGCTCTTTCCCGCTTACTGAGGCAGCAGCAGCTCATGAACACCTTGCCTCTGGCTCAGGAAGTGGCCAAAGAGAGGGCAGCAGAGCCCTGGCAGGGGTCCCCAGGTCTACCCAGGCAGCTCGGCCTCAGTGGGTGGAAACATCACAGCAAGTGCTTTCCGTTTCACATTTTTGGGTTTCACACTTCACAAAGCCCACCAGGCCGGTGAGAAAGAACAGAAGGATCAGGGGCTGGGAAACCTCTCACCGGCCCGGTGCAGACGCAGTCAGGCCAAGTGGTTTATAGCAGCAGGTTGGGCACCGCATACAACCCTGACACTGTCAACAAGGAAACAGGTGGGCTGGGACTGGGATTCTGGGTGCCACCAGCCATGCATGGCTTTGAGGGTGTTCCTGTGTGGTGACTGTCACACAGACCAGAGGGCCTGGAATGACCTCGTCCACAGAGATCAACACCTGCCCGGGGGTTGCAGTGGACGACACACGGTCACTGGTGAGCAGGGACCGTGACAAGGGCTTCCTCCGGAGGCCGAGAGATGTCTACATTCTGCACAAAATTAAACACACAGAACACTGACCATTTGCCAAGGACAGACAGTCACCACTACCTGCTTCGCTCATCGCTATAGCCGCTGGACTCACATTCTCAGCCCGAGGAGCCCCGGCCACAGGACTTAGACCCCGACCTTTCCTAAGAGCCAGGGGTCAAGAGCTTCTTGACACGTGGTGGGTGACAAACACCAGAACAAAGGTGGGGGATGGAGGACACCTCCGGTTCCTGCTTGCTCCTTGCAGGCAGGTCAGGCATTACCCAGAGTGAGGCCATCCCCGCCTCCTGCCTCAGGTCTGGGTCAGGTGGGGAGAAACAGCTGGCTGGGAAGGGGACCAGCTCCTGAGGGTGCCCTCCTCCCGGCTATGTCAGTGTGTCGGTGGACAGGTGTCAGATATGGCCCCAGCTGCCTGTGGACACCTCCTGTTTCTGAGAGCTGGGGCACCAGGCCCCTTGCACCTCCCGAACAGCACCCCTCCCCTGCCTCAGCTGCAGAGCCCAGTTCTGTCCACAGCCGGCTGAGTTCAGGGCATCTCAGGCCTAAGGGATGGGGGTCAGAGACTCCCCTCAACTCTGTAAGACTATGTGATCCTATGTGATCCCTGATCTTGGTGGCCCAATGGAGCAGGTCACCAATGACCTGGGCCACAGCCCAGATCTTCAGGGAGGGAATCATGTCCCCTATGGCCACACTCCTGAGTTCACAGGGCTGGCCACTGGAATTGTAGGGGCAGGTGCAATTCTCACTGGGGGCAGGCTTCCCAAGGGCCCCTTTCTCACCACAACCTGTCCCCAAGGATGGGCCAGGACCTGGAGATCCTGCCCACCTTAAAAGGAACCATCCCAGAACCTGTGGCCAACAGAAGTTTGCCTCTCAGAAGTGCCTACCCAGAGGCAGGCAGGGTGCCTGCCAACTACCCCATGGCCATGTTGGCTCCTGCAAATGGACCGGGGCGCCAGCCCCTGATGCTTGCTGGGTCCAGGGGCCTCTTTCACCATCACCCCATCAGTGCTGGGGGCCCAACACCTTCTGGGCTTTCCTCAGTACGAGGGGCCTGTTGGGACATCTTCCCCTGAGACCTGTGTGTGCCAGACTGGGCCTTCATCGGACTCTCAGGGCAAACAGGGAAGAGGTTTACACAACGACTGGTTCTGGTGAGGGGAAGCAGCCTTAGGAAATAGGAGGACACATCCACACACCTCAGCCTGTGGGGCCCAAGGCCTGCACCCTGGGCAGGGACCCAAGGCCCAGCACGTCCCACTGTGGGTGGCAGCAGGCATGACTAAGGTCCCAGGAGCCTTCCTGGTGCAACAGACTCTGGGAATGGGGCCCAGAGGGGCGGTCCTGCTCTTGGCCTTAGTGGGAGAGGAAACCAACATGGCAGAAGGATCCCACACGGGCATGAAGTGCTTCTGGGCAACACTTCAAGGAGCTTCTATCATTAACGCTGGGGGAACACAGAACAGAGACGTGTCCTTCTGCAGGAAGGTCTCTACGCAGCACCGAGACACCCTCAGCCTCTGCATGGCCCTTTCCACAACAAAGCAGGACATTTTTCATTTTTACTTTTTAAAGGTGCTCAAGTTGGACAGGTGCTCATGAGGCCTGGGCTGGTGGGACATGGAAGCGCCTGCCCCCTGTAGGCCTCTAGCCTCTGTTCTGGCCACAGCGTCACCCTGACAGAGAACTCAAGCTCACTCAGTAGATGCCCCAGCTGGGCCTGGCCCTGGTGGTTGCTGTGTCTGGACCCCCAGGAACGTGCCCACCACCCCAGCAGTGACCCGGCTGCTACCTGAGGCCTGTCTCGGTGCGTGTTCACGGCCGCCACATTCAGGAATATGGACTCCACTTTACAACCTGCCAAAGGGAAGATGCAAATCCATTCCCCCTCCTGAAAGGCAGCAGAGCCACAGGGGTAGAAGCTTCTCCCAGGAGGAGGCTTTCGGTGCTGTGGGGCTGAGCATACACCTCAGCCTCACTCCAGTCTTCCCACCTTGGGCAGCTCCGGAGGCCCCGTGAGGAAGCACTAGGCAGCGTGTCAGGCCCGAGCCTCTGGGCCACTGCCCAGCGCAGGCTCGCCAAGGAGCCCGGGCACCAGGCAGAGCCACAGTGAGGATGAGCAGCCCACCTCGGGGGCTGAGGGCGGTCTGAGAAGCAACAAGCCTAGCTCAGTGAGGGGTCACTACACTGAGCAGACCCTCACCCAGCCCTGTCTCACACACGAGGCGGGATCACCATGGTGCCAGGCGCTCAGTGCAAAGGGGGACGAGGCGATTAACATGCACTGGGATGACTTCAGCTGCCACTGAGCTATACAGTTATTGTCCCGAGGGCACAACCATGTGAGAGTGCCTCGTCCAGTGTTGAAGGGGAGGAGTCGGGACCCAGGAGGTTAGGAAGTTGCGTGAGGCCTCTGCTGGCAGAGCCCAAGGCAGAGGCACATATTTTCAGGTCCAGGTCCTGGGGGCCGTGGGGCTTTCTGGGGGATTTTGGAGAAACCAGTAGAAAAGCCCCTCATGTGGGTGGGTGATGGTTAAGGAAGGATCATTGGGGAGGCTTCCTGTGGCCACAGGAATTAAAACAAAAAGAATTTTAAAGCAAATTGGGAAAGGTGGTGGGGTGGAAGGAGGAGGAATGAGCCTCTAATGAAATTTTCAAGGGAGGGGTTTGCAGAAAACCACAGAACCCTGCAGACAGCCAGTCTGGCAACCAGGTAAGCATGCGGGAAGCTTCTTTACCATAAGCCACGGGGGTCAGCTTCAGGACCGTGTGCAGCGGACACTTGAGGTAAGGCAGCTGTTCTGTGGACACAGGCGGAGAGGGTTGGCACCAGGGATGCCCAGGTGACAGTCCCCTTCGATCTCTCTCACACACACATCCCACCTCCCCAGGGGCAGCGTCCGCACCTGCTGCCTTGTCAAGGAAGTAGGCCAGGAGGCAGCGCATCACAGCCTGGTGGCAGATGACCAGCACGTTCTCTTGCCGCTCCAGCTCCATGATGACAGGCTCAAGTCGCTGGACCAGGTCCTCATAGGACTGCAAGGGCAAGTGGGAAGCGTCCTCAACCCAGCTCTGGGGGTAGGGATGGAGACCTTCTGGGTGGTGGGCTACCTTCTCCTGAACTCCTCACCATTCTGGGAGGTTGGTGAGGACTGGCAGTCTGACAAAGGGATCACCTCCCCTATCCCAGGGCCAGGTCCCAGTAGGACCAAGAGGGCAGGGCTGGGGCTTAGGTTGCATCCAAGGGGCCGCCTCCATGCCCATCCTGGGCCCTTTGCTGAACCCTCAGCTGCTGGAATTCACATGCTGGCAACTGATGACAGGTGGAGAAGACACGGCTCCCTTCCTACCCACCACACGTGGAGTACACAGAACGAGGCTTATAGGGAGGGGAAGCAAAAACCTCCCAAACTTCCCAGCGTGCAAACTGTCACAATGCCTGAGCTCCCAGGAAGGATCCTCACAGTCGGCCTGCCCTGTACCTCCCCTGGGTGCCGTGAGGGAGCCCTTGGACCAACCCCGGTGACTGGCAGGTCTAGAGCTTTTCACTGGGAGACCCAGCCCTGGGGGTTCACCCCTGTTTGCACACAGTGAGCCGTCCTTCAGAAAAAAAAAAAAAGGCCTCAAGCTTGGAGCTGAGTTTGCCCCATGATTTGGTTGGGAGTAATACCAACATGACTTGTGCTAGCCCCTGGTATTTCTGGGGAAATCCTAGATTGCTTCTTTTGGCAACTACCTTCCCTACCAATTTCCCCCCTGTATTCTCAAGTTTGAGCAGCCAGCTGCTTTGTTTCTTTTTACTGTTATCTGGTTTGGTTCTAAATCTGGGTTCTCCCTCACAGTATGACGTGGGGAAATATCAATGCTACCCGAAGCTGTCCTATTCCCGAGGACAGCACAGCATAGGCACCTGTGAGCCTGGCATTTGGGCGGGGGGTTTTGACATGTGTACGTGTATGTGTGTACGCAAACCTGTGTGTCTGTGGGAGGTATTTTTATTTGGCCACTGCCTCAGGTCACATCCTAGAATTGGGAGATACATGAGTCAAAGGTGACACTGGGGGCTTCCCTGGTAGCGCAGTGGTTGAGAGTCCACCTGCCGATGCAGGGGACACAGGTTCGTGCCCCGGTCCGGGAGGATCCCACGTGCCACGGAGCGGCTGGGCCCGTGAGCCATGGCCGCTGGGCCTGTGTGTGCGGAGCCTGTGCTCCGCAATGGGAGAGGCCACAACAGTGAGAGGCCCGCGTACCGCAAAAAAAAAAAAAAAAAGGTGACACTGTTTCTACCCGGGGCCTGGGCTGAGGCGAGAGCCAGTCTGAGGGGAGGTGACAGTGCAGGTGACTTATGGTAGTCACGACTCACCTGGGGAAAATGAATCCCTAGGTCTGGATTCAGGGCTAGGGATGGTGTCTGGAGCCGCAGGGAGGATGGGGTCACCCTATGACACTCCCAGGGATGGGGAAAGTAAAGATGGGGAGTGATGGGAAACAGGGCTCCAGTAGGCCTCAGGGTTGGGATTCCTGGGCAGCACTGCTCACCCACCACCCAAGGAGGGGCCTGCAGCCTGGGCCACGGCTGAGAAGTGGTGGAGGTGACACACACACCCAGCCTGCCTACCTCTGAGGCCAGGCCCCTCCTGCTGCCCACGGAGCCTCTGCAGAGCCCCTCAGGGCCCTCAGTCACAGGCGGTCCTCCCAGGCAGGCAGCAGTGGCTGGGATTAAGCCCCCATATCCCACCTACCTCCCCCTTGGGGTACCGGTACCGGTACTTGTCCTGGTCTCGCAGGGCAAATTCCAGTGGATAATGATCCTGAATTTCCTCGTAAGTCATTTCCTCACAGACGCCCTAGGGAGACACCGCAGTCATCACACCACCCACATCAGGCCCAGGGATCAGCCCTGTGTCAGGGGGAGGGCATTTGCTGGGCCACAAGGCCTCTCCCAGCTGGGAAGAGCAGACACCCTGGGAACACTAAGCAGGGGCAGCCTCACATTTGGAAAAAGCTATCACACGTCTTTTCCACCCACCCATCATCCATCCATCCAGTTTATGCCATAAAATTAAACACAGAAATGTTAACTATGTGTCTTTTCTAATGTGTCTTTTTGTCTTCTGTGCTATGGAAATACTACAGCAGAGTATGTATTATTGTACAGGCTATAAAGTAAGAGTTCCCTCATGTCATTCAGGATACACACACACGCACAGCACAGAGTATCGTACACAAATGCCATTTTAAAACAAAACAAAAGAGCCCAGGACAATGTGTGGACTGACCAGTGTCAGTCCTTCCAAGGCTCAAGCCAAGAACCAGCACACAGGAGGTGCCCAGAGAGGAAGCAATAAAACGCCCATAATAAAAAGCTGCTGGACTATTTACAATAGCCAGGTCATGGAAGCAACTGAAATGCCCATCAACAGACGAATGGATAAAGAAGATGTGGTACATATATACAATGGAATATTACTCAGCCATAAAAAGGAATGAAATTGGGTCATTTGTAGAGACGTGGATGGATCTAGAGACTGTCATACAGAGTGAAGTAAGTCAGAAAGAGAAAAACAAATATCGTACATTAACGCATATATGTGGAACCTAGAAAATGGTACAGATGAACCGGTTTGCAGGGCAGAAATTGAGACACAGATGTAGAGAACAAACGTATGGACACCAAGGGGGGAAAGCGGCGGGGTGGTGGTGGTGGTGGTGTGATGAATTGAGCGATTGGGATTGACATGTATACACTGATGTGTATAAAACTGATGATTAATAAGGACCTGCTGTATAAAAAAATAAATAAAATAGGGCTTCCCTGGTGGCGCAGTGGTTGAGAGTCCGCCTGCCGATGCAGGGGACATGGGTTCGTGCCCCGGTCCGGGAAGATCCCACATGCCGTGGAGCGGCTGGGCCATCGCGCCATGGCCACTGAGCCTGCGCGTCCGGAGCCTGTGCTCCACAATGGGAGAGGCCACAACAGTGAGAGTCCCGCGTACCGCAAAAATAAATGAATAAATAAATAAATAAAATAAAATTCAAAACAAAGATGTGAGAAACTATAAAGTGGGGGTCAGGAGAACAAACTGTGACACTACAATTCATAACACACACAATAAACAAATTATTCTGAAAAATAAAAAAGAAAAGAAAAGAAAAAATAAAAAGCTGCTGGTTTCTACCTTTGTCCTCAGGGTTTTTTTCCTAGACAAAGCCTTGGGGGCAAAGTTGTCTATTAAAAAGGAACGATGATGAGGAAAATTTAAACCTATAAATGCCTATATCAAAAAAAAAAGATCTCATATCACTGATCTAATCTTCTACCTTAAGATATTGGAGGGACTTCCCTGGTGGCACAGTGGTTAAGAATCCGCCTGCCAATGTAGGGGACAAGGGTTCGATCTCTGGTCCAGGAAGATCCCACATGCCGCAGAGCAACTAAGCCTGCATGCCACAACTACTGAGCCCACGTGCCACAACTACTGAAGCCCGCGTGCCTAGAGCCTGCACTCCACAACAAGAGAAGCCACCACAGTGAGAAGCCCACACACTGCAACAAAGAGTAGCCCCTACTCACTACAACTAGAGAAAGTCCACCCACAGCAACAAAGACCCAACACAGCCAAAACTAACTAAATAAATAAATTTATTTAAAAAAAAAAGTTACTGGAAGAAGAACAAATTAAACCCAAAGCAAGCAGAAGTAAGGAAATAATGCAAATTAGAACACAAATTCATTAAATAGAAAAAAGCAACGAAATCAAAAGTTGGTTCTTTGAAAAGATCAACAGAATTCACAAAACTTTTGCTAGACTGACAGGAAAAAGGAAAGCTCAAATTATTAAACCAGGAATGAAAGGGGGATATCACTACAAAGCTTACAGAAATAAAAAAGATTATAAGGGAATACTATACACAATTATATGCCAACAAATAAGACAACTTAGGTGAAATAGGAAAATTCCTACAAAGACACAAACTACCTGTTGTGAGTTGAATACTTCCCCCCAAAAGATACGCTGAAGTCCTAACCCCTGGGAACTGTGAATGTGACCTTATGTGGAAATAGTCTTTGCAGATATAATCAAGTAGATGAGGTCCAATGACTGATGCCCTTTTAAGAAGGCCATGTAAAGACATAGAGAGACACACACAGGGAAGAAGCCCATGTAATGAGGGAGACAGGGATTGCAGTGATGCACCTATAAGCCAAGGAATGTTGGCAGCCACCAGGAACCTGCTAAAAATATGGGCATTAAAAGGGATTGGGGGCAGGGGCTTCCCTGGTGGCGCAGGGGTTGAGAGTCCTCCTGACAATGCAGGGGACACGGGTTCGAGCCCTCTCCGGGAGGATCCCACATGCTGTGGAGCAGCTAAGCCTGTGTGCCACAACTACTGAGCCTGCGCTCTGGAGCCCATGAGCCACAACTACTGAGCCCACGTGCCACAAATGCTGAGCCTGTGCGCCTGGAGCCTGTGCTCCGCAATACGAGAGGCCACTGCAGTGAGAAGCCCACGCACTGCAACGAAGAACAGCCCCCGCTCTCTGCAACTGGAGAAAGCCTGTGCGCAGCAACACAGCCAAAAGATAAATAAATAAATTTATAAAATAAACGTGATTGGGGGGGACTTTCCTGGTGGCACAGTGGTTAGGAATCCACCTGCCAATGCAGGGGACACGGGTTCAAGCCCTGGTCCAGGAAGGTTCCACATGCCACAGAGCAACTAAGCCCGTGTGCCACAGCTACTGAAGCCCATGTGTGCCTAGAGCCCGTGCTCCACCACAAGAGAAGCCACCTCAATGAGAAGGCCACACACCACAATGAAGAGTAGCCCAAAGCCTGTGTGCAGCAACCAAGACCCAATGCAGCCAAAAATAAATTAATTAATTAAAAAAAAAAAGATTGGGGGATTCCCTGGCGGTCCAGTGGTTAGAACCAAATGCTTTCACTGCTGAGAGCCTGGGTTCAATCCCTGGTCGGGGAACTAAGATCCCACAAGCCACAGTGTGGCCAAAAAAAAAGTGATTAGGGTGATGGCTCAGAAGGAAGTGAAGGACAGTAGAGCAAGCCTCTGTTGCCTTAGAGAATACGTATATTATCATGAACAGAATGTTGCTAGAAATATGAATGTTTAGGGACTCCTCTGGAGGTCCAGTGGTTAGGACTCCGTGCTTTCACTGCCATGGCCCCAGGTTCAATCCTTGGTCAGGGAACTAAGATCACGCAAGATGTGTGGCGCGGCCAGAAAAAAAAGAGAGAGAGAAAAGGCAATCTTTATCATAAAGCAGCAGAGAACTTGGCTGAACTGTGTTCTAGTGTGGGCAGCTATAACAAAAAAGGCAGATAGGGGCTTCCCTGGTGGTGCAGTGTTTGAGAGTCCGCCTGCCGATGCAGGGGACACGGGTTCGTGCCCCGGTCTGGGAAGATCCCACATGCCGCGGAGCTGCTGGGCCCGTGAGCCATGGCCACTGAGCCTGCGCGTCTGGAGCCTGTGCTCCACAATGGGAGAGGCCACAACAGTGAGAGGCCCGTGTACCGCAAAAAAAAAAAGGCAGATAATGACAAGTGATAAGGAGGATGCAGAGAAATCAGAACCCTCATACACTGATGGTGGGAATGTAAAATGGTGCGGCCACTTTGACAAACAGCCTGGCAGTTTCTAACAAGCTTAAATGGAGTTAACATGGGGGACTCCCTGGTGTCCCAGTGGTTGGGACTCTGTGCTTTCACTGCCAAGGGCCTGGGTTCAATCCCTGGTCAGGGAGCTAAGATCCCACAGGTCACACAGCACAGCCAAAATAAAAAAACAAACAAAAAAACGTAGAGTTAACATATGACCTAGCAATTCCACTCCTGGCTATCTACCCAAGAGAAATGAAAACATGTCCACACAAATCTTGTACATTCAGAGCAACATCATTCCTAAAGCCAAAAAATGGCAACTACCCAAATGCCCATCGACTGGTGAATGGATAAATAACATGTGGTATATCCATACAATGGGATATTATTCGGCAATATACAGGAACAAAATACTGATACATTCTACCACAGGAGGAATGAAATGTCCACAATAGGCCAATCTATAGAGACAGAAAACAGATTGGTGGTAGCCTAGGGCTGGGGGGAAGGACTGGAAGGAAATGGGGGTATGGGTACAGGGTTGCTTTTTGGAACAACAAAAATGTTCTAAAATTGATTGTGGTGATGGTTGCATAACTCTGTGAATATACTAAAAACGATTGAATCATACAATTTAAACAGGTGAACTGTATCATGTGTGAATCATATCTCGATAAAGCTGTTGTTTTCAAAAAAGGAAAAATAAGACAGTAAATTGTGGATTGGGCTAAGAAAAAAATCACAACGTTAAAATAGAAGACTAGCCCAAGGCTGTTTACCAGAACAGAGGAAAGAACAAAGATAAACATGGAAAGATGACTAACAGATCATAGATACTAGAATAGTTTCCAAACTAAAGAAAAAGAAGGGAATCCAGTGTATCTAGGAAAATAATCGGATTAACCTCAAAAAAAAAAAAGATCAGGGCTGCCAAGGCTTCTCTGAGAAACCAAATGCTCCAGCCATATCCATGCCCTTGGAAGGCAGACACCAGACCCCTAACCTGCGTCAGGGAGCTGCTATTTGCACGAGAAAGAAATCAGGGCTGGAAACCTCCTGTAACTCCCACCAGCCACAGCTGATGAAAGCCCACAAAATGGGTTAAATGAGCTATAAAACGGGTCACAGAAATTGCTTACTCTTTTGAAAGAGTTCATCAGTTCTAAAGAAGAGCTACAACAGATAAAAAAAAAAAAAGACATGATGCTATACTCTGCCCAATTACA